CAGATGTCAACCAGTGGAACTCCACCTTCTACGCCCAGCCAGGTCTCAGTAATACCTGCCAGGTCCGCGCCCCCCTCCAGAATAAGATCTTGTATGAGGGGGGCCTTATTTACCACGGACCTGGCATTACATAACATCAGCCGAAGGTCCCGGGCCGGAGGGTCTAAGTCTCCCGGGAACCGAGTGGAGACCTGAGGACAGGAGCGCCCACAAGCTTGTAAATAGCGTGTGCGTGCTCCCCTAACCTGATATGGTCCTCTGCTCCCGCCATATCTGCCTCTCCCACTGACCGTACTGATTCTTCCCTCCTCCTTCACTCCCCTACCCTCTCCCTACCCTCTCCCCCCAGATGAAGCTTTGCTGGCTTATCACTCACCTCCAGGTGTGTAGCCAGGTTCCTAACAGGCCACAAACTGGTGTTACCCATCCATGACCCAGGATTTGGGGACCCCTGCTTTATGGTGTTACTATAGTAGAAGAAATAGGAGGAGGGAATTAAGAGTACGCTGCCTTGAGTTCCCACATGAAACAAATCCAGTAAAGAAATAATAAATTTAGTAATTTGGATATATGCTTTGGCATCCATGTATCTTTAATTAACTTCTATTACAAGCAAAGGGAATAAATGGGTATCAAAACAGATCTGGAATGCATTACTATTTTGGATAAGAAGGTGGTGCAGAGAATGGTGAGGATGGCAGAAAAGGTTATTGGAAGTTCATTTCTATCCAGGACATGGCATATAAGTGCGGTTTGACCAGGGTTTGCAGTATTGTCTGGAATGCTACATATCCTCTCTATGACCGGTTTTCTTGCTACCTTCTGGGAGGAGGGGGCTTTATGGTATCTGAAGCAGAACATCCAGAATCTGTAATAGCTTTGTACCATATAGCGTTAACCTTGTTAACGCTCAAGACTCTTTTTTCCATTATGTATTGAAAATGGACTGTAATTTATGTGTGTGTGTGTGTTTGTACGTGTATCAGAATTTCATTTTTTAATTTGTGCAAGTGTGTTCACAGAAAAATATGACAATAAAAGTTATCTTTTCTCCTTTCCTCTCCTACTTTATCATATGGTATCTTATCTTGGCTGATTGTAATGGATACAATTAGCATTGTCTAATTCCACCTTTAAAAAAAAATGTTGTGCCTTTTAATCTAAAATTAAATTCCCTAAACTGACAGACGTGAACAAGCCAAATTATAATTCAGCTGCATTTAATTATAATGAAATGTTACTTTTGTGTTTTTATTTTGCCTGTGAGATAGGAGATGGCCAAACTTTACACAGGCAAAATGAAATTAATTAATTAATTAATTAATTTTCTTTCTTTCTTTCTTTCTTTCTTCTCCCTCCTTCTCTCCCTCCCTCTCTTCCTTCCTCTTCTTTTTATTTAATATAATCTCATCCACCCATCCATGCATCCATACATCCATCCATCTATCCATCCATCCAGTCAAACAGCCAGCCAACCAGCCAGCCAGCCAGCCGGCCGCTAAATAAAACCATCTCTACTCCTACATTTCCCACAAGGCCGAGCGCGCTGGCTATGATTTCTGGGAAATGGTAGGCAAACGACGGGATTAGCCGGGCCAGATTGGAAAAGATCGGAGCTCAGAGGCGGGGGAAGCGACTTCCGGAAATGAGCGGAAGTCGCTGTTGCTAAGGGCCCGGTTTTCGTTTGTCAGAAAGCAGGCTCTTAGCAACCGGGAAAAGGGCGCTGCGCGAAGATGCTGCCCGCCGAGGAAATGGGCGCGGCGCTCCCCAGGGCTTCTCCGAGCCCCGAGCCCTCCATGTACAGGCACAGGCCCGCCTCGGAGCTGACTCAGGTGAAGGAAGAGCCGCTCCCGCTTCTGCTGCCGCACCCTTCGCCTTCAGTAACCTTGCAAACGCCCCTCCTTTCCAGGGCGATTTTTTTTTGGGGGGGGCGCCTAGCCTGGGGTGTCTCTGAGCATGGGCAGAGTGCGACTTGCAATGTCTCTTTCCTGTGCCCACATGCCCCCATAGACCTCGGGATGGTATTTGGGGCACCGGAGGCACAGGATTCCTGGGCATGTGCAGAGTGCTTTTTCAATCTACCTGCAGCAGAAGGGACAGCGGGCGTGGAGGAACCTTTCCAATCCTTTTCATTGATGATTTGATTGTATTTAACACATTTCTATCGTCGCCCATTTATCTGGGCGGTGGAGAGAAATGTTTTTTAAAACCCCAATTTATGGTTTTTTAAGAAGGTGAAAAAATATTTAAAATATGTCGATTTTATAAACGGGTTCTTTCATAGAGGATTTAAACGCACCCTTTTATTCAGAAAATACTGTAAGTACTTTGATTGCACAGGGATAAGAACCACAATGAAGAATGATTTAATAATAATAATAATAACAATTGCAAAAGACCCTAAGCTTAACCCCTAACCCTGTGACAATACCTTTAATATTATGAAACAACACCTGCTTATCCCAAGTCCTTGGGAAGGACTCGACATGTGAACAAAAAAGCCAAATTCAGTCTGAACATCTAACTGACTATGTGACCAATTCTAATAATTTATATTTTTTCCTGGAAAAAATCCCTTATCTTTAACAGTATGTTTCCAGAGCTGCTTGCGAGCTTACGAAAATATAACCAGCCACCAAAACTTGGCGGAGGTTCGGGAGAGCGAAGCTTTGTGATCAGGATTTCCTGTATGTGTGTCAGTGTTTGTGTTTAAGAATGAAGCAAAACATTAGGAATGATCAGATTGGATTGCTTATGTTGCTGCAGGAAGAGGAAGATTTGCCATTTGTTCCATTTTTAAAATTTTCCAGTACTTATTCACTGGGAAAAATTGTTGAGATGAGTAAATATTAGCTGGGAGGAAGGACTGAATCGAAATATTGAACATGCATGGAGAAAGATTAGCTTCTTTTGATTCAGTGCTAGTCTTCTTACTCAAAAGTAGAATCTACACTAGGCACAATATTTTTTAAAGTGGTGGAAATGTCTGTAGGTTTACTGTAGATTCTTTGGCCATAGAGGAATCCTCAACTTAAAACAGCTTGCTTAGTGACCATTAAAAATTATACCAGACCTACTTAGGGCTAATTACAACCCAGTTTTGACACCTGAGCACGCTCTGTCGTCACATGACCAAACAATGGCTGCATTTACAGCATCCCGGGCTCACGTGATCACGGTTTACAAAGGTTTTGCTAAAAACTAGCACTTTTGATTTTCAGTAAAATTGTGCCCATAACAAATTATTGGCATGCTTGATGACTGTGGCATTCTATAGGTAGTCCTCGACTTACGACCACAATTGAGCCCAAACTTTATGTTGTGAAATGAGGCATTTGTTAAGTACGTTTTGCCCCATTTTACGGCCTTTCTTGTCATGGTTGTTAAGTGAAATCACTGCAGTTGTTAAATTAATAACCTGGTTGTTAAGTGAATCTGGCTTCCCCATTGAGTTTGCTTGTCAGAAGGTCCCAAAAGGTGATCACATGACCCCGGGACACTGCAACCGTCATAAGTATGAGTCAGTTGCCAAGCATCTGACTTTTGATCATGTAATCATGGGGATGCTACAAAGTGTGAAAAATCACTTTTTTCAGTTCTGTTGTAACTTTGAACGGTCGCTACATAAACTGTTGTAAGTCGAGGACTACTGTATTAACAACTGCTGCAAAAAATGCTGTAAAATTTTGCAACTGCTGTAACATAAGACTATAACGCGAGAACTCCATCAAAGTCATATGTTGAGGACTACCTGCATACATAAGGGTCCTTCTTAGGCTGGATTATAACCAGCTTGTAGAAATCTGAGCTTTCACATAAATTGGGATCTTTAGAGATGATGAATCTAGGAATATACTTTTTATGAAACTAATGATTGTATTCTATATGGTCCCTATGGAATGGATTCAAAAAACCCATTGGGAGTTTTGAGTGTCTGGAAGGTAATTCTTCTCTCCCCCCTTGTCCTGTATCTCATAAAACTAATTCCTAAACTCAAATTGGAATAACCTCCAGGGAAGTCTTAGTTGTAATTATAAGAAAACCCTAGTGAGTACCCAGAAACATTTATTTATTTATTCACTCGCTTCAGTTTTATATTGTTCATTCCCAAGGCTTCTGAGGATGTGAAAGAGAAGCAATAACTTCCGGGAGTCTGTTCCACAGTTGACAGCTCTTAGAGTTAGAAAATAATTCCTGATTTACAACTGAGTTATTTCTTGTTATTACTGAGGGGCTGCCACAAAGAAGAGGGAGTCAACTTATTTTTCAGAGCGCCTGAGGGCAGGACAAGAAACAATGGATGGAAACTCATCAAGGAGAGAAGCAATCTGGAACTAAAGAGGAATTTTCTGACAATTAGAACAATTAACACCTTGCTTTCAGAAGTTGTGGGTGCTCCATCACTGGAGGTTTTTAATAAGAGATTGAACAACCACTTGTCTGAAATGATATAGAGCACGGGTGTCAAACTCAATTTCACTGAGGGCCGCATCAGCATTGCGGTTGCCCTGGGGGTGGGTGGGGGTGGCCAGAGTGGGTGCAGCCTATTGGATGGGCATGGTTGGAGTGGGTGTGGTTATTGGGTGGGCGTGGCCAGTTCCACATCATTCGCATCAAGGGTGCCTATGGAGGCCTGGGCAGGAGTGGGACAGATCTGAGGGTCTCTGGCAGAAGGGGGTGGGACTGGGGCAAGTGCCAAGGCATGGTCCACCGGGGCAAGTGCCAAGATGGCCACCACAAAATTGTACATTGGCTCTCGGCTGGCCTGGGCCAGGGCCAAGGCAGCAGGGGCCGTTCCCTCACTGTTTCCAGGATGGCTTCGCGGCCCACATGAAATCACTTCTTGGGCCACATCTGGCCCCCGGGCCTTGTGTTTGACATGTCTGCTATAGAGTCTCCTGCTTGAGCAGGGGGTTGGACTAGAAGACCTCCAAGGTCCCTTCCAGCTCTATTCTGATTGATTGTAATTTAAAGCCACTGTTTCTTGACCTATCTTCTGGAATAACGCTGGACAATTCTGCCCCATCTTCTATATAAATGTATACAATCTACAGGAATATAGAAGATCCTAAATACTGAAATCATTGTAACTTTAGCATTTTACATATGAACATCTTGCACTTGGCTTGAGGCCAGTATAATGTTGTGTGTTTTTTTAAATTGTGTAACAATGTAATAATTGTAGGATCCAATCTGGGTCGGTGACCGGAACCAGAGTTTTAGTCTTCTGAGATTTTGGACTTGTGCTGGAGCCCATCCTTAGGGAACTTGTGTCTCGCCATGTTTCACATTCTGATGAGACAGAAGTTCCCCGAAAATGGGAGTCCGAAAGCTTGGAAGATTAAACCTCTGATCCCAGTGACCGACCCAGATTGGGTCCTGCAACATTATACTGGGACATGTATATTTACCTTCATTCGTAATGTAATAATTGGATTTTTTTTCACTAGCTACAGCTCCTCAAAGACAGTTTCATGTAATAAGTACACCTATGACCACAATTGAGCCCAAAATTTCTTTTGCTAAGCGAAACATTTGTTAAGAGAGCTTTGCCCCATTTTTACAACCCCCCTTGCCACAGTTGTTAAGTGAATCACTGCAGCTGTTCAGTTAGTAACACGATTGTTAAGTGAATTCAGCTTCCCCACTGACTTTGCTTGTCAGAAGGTGGCAAAAGGGGAATTACGTGACCCTGGGACGTTGTGACCGTCATAAATATGAGTCAGTTGCCAAGCTTCCAAATTTTGATCAAGTGACCACGGGGACGCTGCAACGGACATTAAGTATGAAAAACGGCCATGTCTGTTTTTTCAATACCGTCGTAACTTTGAATGGTCACTAAACGAACTGTTGTAAGTCGAGAGCTACCTGTAATGCTGAATAGGCAAGCTGTTTTTTCAATACAGGTAGTTCTCGGTTTGCAACTGGTCACTTAACGACTGTTTGAAGTTACAACCTACTGGAAAAAGTGAGTGAGAACCTGGTTCGGAAGTTCTGACGGTCAGTTATGCCCCTGCAATTATGCTAATGCACTTCGGACAGTACGGCCATATTTATAGCCATTTGCAGCATCCCATGTTCACCTGATCACATTTTCCAAGGGCTTTGTCAAAACCTGGAAGTTACAATTGGTTTGCTTAATGACCGTAGCATTCTTTTTGCGGCTGCCTTGTTTGCTTAATGACTACGACAAAAAAGGTTGTAAAAACAGGTTGGCCGTGTGACCAAAGCATTTTACAATCATCATGACATGCGACTGTGATGGGCAGGATCCCTTACAGTTGCATGTATGTTGAGGAGCCTCTGTAATCATCAGAACTTGGCAATAGTGAGTGAAAGCAACTATATGTAATAATAATAATAATAATAGTAGTAGTAGTAGTAGTAGTAGTAGTAGTAATAATAATAATAATAATAATAATAATAATAATAATAATAATAATAATAATAATAATAATAATGAAAGTTGGAAGGTACCTTGGAGGTCATCTAGTCCAACGCCCTGCTCAGGCAGGAAACCCTACAGTGTACACCATTTCAGACAAATGTAGTTTGGTCCAAATTTTAAAAAAAGCCTCATTAATTTCAAACAGAAGTTATTTTCTGTCACTGTAATCTGTAATTAGTAGGCATAATAGCAAGAAGCTCAGCTGCTAAACTTATTGTCACTATACAGGTAGTCCTCGACTTAAAACAGTTCATTTAGTAACCAAAGTTACAACAGTACTGAAAAAAAGTGATTTATGATTGTTTTTCACACTTACGACCGTTGCAGCATCCCCATGGTCATGTGATCAATTGACTCATATTTATGATGGTCACAGTGTCCTGGGATCATATGATCCCCTTTTACGACCTTCTGGCAAGCAAAGTCAATGGGGGAAGCCAGATTCACTTAACAACTATGTTACAAACTTATCAACTGCAGTATTCACTTAACAATTGTGGCAAGAAAGGTCATAAAAAGGGGCAAAATTCACTTAAATGTTTCACTTAGCAACAGAAAATTTGGGCTCAATTATGGTTGTAAGTTGAGGACTACCTGTACTGTCAACTTAATTATTTGAATGCATGCTGAAGATTTTTAACACTGAACATGTATAACTTTCAAGTTGAAGGTTGCTTTATGCCAGTTTTCAAGATGTTAATTAACTGTAGTATTATTGACGTGAAATCGGCTGTCACTCTTATTATAGGATCATCATCAAATATTTCTACATCTGTTTCTGATTATTTCTTCTCCTATCCCCACTTAGGATATTTCCCATGTGCTAACCAAAGTTTTTAAGAGCTTATACACTTCAGAGGTGATAGCAGCAGACATGGTGGATAACATGATCAAATCACATGGAGGAAACAATCCCCATCACAAACACTTTGTGGAAGAGTTGCGAAAGGTAAACTTTCCGTTTAGCTCTGTTCAGGAAAAGATATAAGAATTAGGTGATTTAAGCTTGCAGAATGTTCTGCTTAGTCACCATTCAGAATTGAATCATTTTGGAACAGTAGGACGTAGGCAGACAGACAGGCAGACCAATAGACATATCCAAAGACAGAAACACATACACAAACATAACATATATAATGTTTGCTATAACATTAGTAAACATAAATGTGTGTGTATATAAATTATGTTGCAAAAGTAGAATAAATAAAATACAATAAATCAGAATCCTGGCATAAAAAGCGATGCTTGACCATAGTCTGCAGTATTGTCTGGAAAGCTACACATCCTCTCTGTGACCTTCTGGGAGGAGGGGGCTTTGTGGTATCCAAAGCAGAACATCCAGATTCAGTTGCAGCTTTGTTCCATATAGCATCAACCTTATGAACTTTCAAGTTTCCTCTTTTCACTATGTATTCAAAATTGACATATGTATATATGGGTATAGGTATGGGTGTACATATATGTGTGTGTGTGTGTGTGTTATGTATATTTGTGGGTAGACATATACTTTCTTTTAAGAGCAGGCAACAGAATTTAATTTTTAATGTGGGCCAGTGTGCTCAAGTAAAAAATAACAATAAAGGTTACCTGAATCTTAATCAGAAGTTAACGGTCGATTTGTGTCTTCAGCAGAATCCTTCTTTTTTGCATATAATATAAAATGGGCTGCCAACCTTTCTGAGTTGGCGGCAGGAAAGGGAGGGACAGGCCCCTTTATGCGCACATGCGCACAGACACAAATGAGGCTGCATGCACGTGAATTGGCCCGTGAGCATGTGCATTCCGCAAATGGGGCTGCTAGCGCCCCATGGCTCGTGGTTCGGCTAGTGCCGACGTGAGGCATGCAGCTTGCCTAGCGTCGGCACAAGGGCAGGGGGTGAGCATGCGCACATGCACGTGTGCACTGGCCAGCCATTCACGAGGCCCGCTGGCCAAGAGCCGTGGCCCGGTATTAGGCCGTGACCCATAGGTTGGGCACCTCTGATATAAAGATTTGTACTTTGATGTCAAATGAATCTAATCTATATTTAAATGTTCACCATGACAATCACAGCTCCGGGAAGAGTATAATCACCGACAAATGGAGGCAGAAATGCTGGAAAGGCACATCATCCAAGCCAGGGCCAGGGCCACAGCCGAAGAGGAAAGGCTCTTGAATTTGCACCAGCAGGAAGTTCCAGAAACCTTCCGCCAAGTGGCCAAGCCATCAGGTGAAGGAACGGGCCTTTTCTGTGCTCCCTTTGGCAGGAAATCCCCGGCCTGCCCTCACAATGGAGCCCGACGTTTTAGTTGCTAAGCCAGACCATTGTTACGTAAGTTTCGGCCCATTTTACAACCTTTCTCGCCACAGTTCTTAAGTGAACCACTGCAGTTGTTAAATCAGCAACACATTTATTAAGTGAATCTGGCTTCCCCTTTGACTTTGAGCGTCAGAAGGTTGCAAAAGGGGATCACGTGACCTTGGGACACTGCCACCGTCCCTAGATATGAAATCAAACGTCTGGATTTTGATCACGTGACTGCAGGGACGCTGCAACAGTCGCAAGCGTTAAAAACGGTTATTTTTTTTTCCAGTGCTGTTGTAACTTTGAAAGTTCACTAAAAAAAAATGGTTGTAAGTCGAGGACTATCCTAATATAACTGAAGAAAAATATCCTTTAGTTTATTAGAAATTAGTAAGGATTTGATTTGATCTTTTCAGTATGGGAAGGATTGATGGCAAGGCACAGGAATCCTGTTTGGTTGGTTTGCTATAAAATTCGAAGAATTAGAATTACGATGAAGAGACAAAAGGAAAGCCTTTTTTTATTTGTTTGCTCTCATTTTTCAACCCAGGGTAATTCCTATGAAAATTCCTGCCACCAAAGTTATTCTTTTTGGGGTTTTTTGATGGGTGTGAAAATTGATTACAGGTGGTCCTCAGCTTACAGCTCTTTGTTTAGCGACTGTTGAAAGTTAGAACGACACTGAAAGAGGGGATGCGTGTTGCAGCATCCCACGGTCAGATGATCGATCGAAATTTGGTCACCGCGATGTAAAAAAGATGTTGAGACTTCAGAAAGAGTACAGAGAAGAGCAACAAAGATGATTAGGGGACTGGAGGCTAAAA